AACCCATGCATGATTTTTGATTCTAAAAAAATGTGTGTGAGGGTATGTCTATTGGAAATGTTGGAGCCAGTAACTGTTATATGGTATAACCCCATAAGCTTCGGACCACACACATTGGAGCCAGTTGTGCTGTTGTGCTTCTGGCTCATGGTCAGTGGTTTCAAGATCTAACAATAAACCACTGCCACTGACTCCTCCATAACGTACGGTGATCCCAATAGGGATAAATCATTGTTAAAATTTATCCAAATCAATCTCCAACATTGCTGGGTGGCTTCTACAGTGTGTAGAGACAAAGGCTAGAGTCAAGTAAAAACTTTAGAGTTTACATGACTGTAATCTGTTATGGATTTTACACCTTGAAATAGTATTAGACAAGGCCAGGTATGCAGGCAAAACTTGGGGTCTGCAACTATATGTCCATAGGGTATTTTGGATTTTGATTATGGTGCTCAACCCACAATAGCTTATGCTGTCTTAGTTTCATGGCCTAGAGTACATTGAAAGGACTAGTCTAAGCTGCAAAGTTTGTAGCATACTGCATGTCTTGTTTATATTGGGAAAGTATGTCTATGATCCCAAATAGTTCTCAAGGTTCTATTGGATCTTTCTCCTCTGCACCTGTTCATTCCAGCTAAGGTGAGAGAGGATCTTTATAGGCTCAAAAGTGCTGGTCAACTTATTTCTAGACCAAGTACTATCAGAATATTGCTCTACTGGGGAACATTATGAAAGAAGACACCTTTTTGATGCATTCTGACAGAATGTTTCTTATGTTTATGCTTGACACATACTATCTAATTTCCTTTTCCACTTGACTGGCATTTGTATATAGTGACCTTTCTTCACAAGGCAGTCTGGTTTACAGACAGATCAAAACTGATAGAGGCACAAGTGTCATTTGTGATAGGTAGTCAAATAGGGGCTTTTTTGTTCCGCTGGGTAGATTCCTCATTGTATTTAAAGCAGAGTTGCTAGCTAGCAAGTTATTTGGTGTGTTTTCACAAGTTTAAATAGAAATCCTCTTAATAAGACTATCTACATTGTTTCTGACAGTCAGACTGTCTTAAAGGCACTTGACTCTTGTTGGGTGACCAGAGTTGGTTATCTGGGTGGCTTCTACAGTGTGTAGTGACAGTGTGTATAGGATCTTTCTTTTGTTGGTATCAGGATATTAAGATATTGCTGGCAATATAAGTACTGATTTACTGGCCAAACAGGATGCATCATATTCCTTTGTAGGGCAAAAATCAGCTTTTGATATTTCTTATGATACTTTCTTTACAGCTGTTAAATATTGGACTACCCCAATCATAAGCAATGAAGATTAATTCCTAGTTTAAATTAGAACAAGGCATTTTTACCTAGCCTGCTCTCTGGGAAAACTAAAGATTTTCTGTTTTTTAACAGGAATCACATTCACTTTTTGGTTGGTGTTACAACCGGCTTTGGTCACTTTTGTATACATCTGTGCTGACTAAAACTTTCCTCTACAGCACCTCATTTCTGAATGTACAGATCTCTGCTCAGATAGTCTTGTCCATCTGGGTTCTATTTTGTCGAGCCCTGGTGAAATCTCTCAGCTTTCCTTTAGAAGTCTGATGTCTATTTTATAAAGAGGTCAGACTTCTGAAGCTATCTTTCTTGGGTGCTCAATGGACCTTTCAGGGCAGAGTATATTTGGTCTACAGGCCCCACATGTACAACAATAATAATATATAGATCATCATATTATTATTCTGTAATTAAACTGTTATAGCTAAATGTAAAACAAACAAGAATGTTTAAAAATATTATTAGAAATGTATGATCAACTTAAAATATAAATTAGACTATTGCTGTAATAAAATTAATTAATTATTAAGATTTGTAAACTCATTTTCTTGAGTAATTGTAATTAATGCTAATATTACATACTATTAAATGATACCCAATAGTAGCATCAAATATTTTATTTTGAGTTTTTTTTTAATTGAATGTTTAGCTTATTTTTATTTTTTCAAACAGTTATTGAGCTAAAATTTTCTTTTTAAAATCATTTCATTGTAATCATTTTTTGATAAAGTATTTAGAAAATATCACATAGTTTCAAAATAGTTAACATAAAGAAACAGAGCAAGCACTCCTATAATTTTTAGTTTAGTTAAAACTGTTCAAAACAGATGCAATACATAAACAATCTTTGAAAAATGAAGTATATTCATTGCTTCATTTTTCAACATACTTCAATACTTCAGTTGATTTTCATATTCAAACATATTTCCCAATATTCTAATTGACTATGAAAACGTTACACAGAAAGAGGAAAAGCATAGAATATAATAGACAATTCTCAATTCAAAAACCTTCATAGTTTATAGATTTATCATTTGGTACAAATAATATCAGAACACCCAAAAAACCATCAAATGAATGAAAATGATTTCATTTAAATAATATTTATTTGATGGTTTTTTTTTTGGATGTTTTGGTGTTATTTGTATTAAAAGTTTGACCAGTTTTTGCTGTAGTGAATAATTTAACATTTGGTTTCTGATAATGTATTTTAATTAAAAATTTGAATGTATAATCTGATACAACATTTGATGCATTGATACTAAACCAAATTATTTAATAAAATTAATTTAATTATTAATTTAGATAAGAGATGGCACCTAATGTCTACCTCTAATATCAAATTACTTAATATCTAACTATTAATAATAGCCCGATTAATTATGATGGTTGTTTGGTTATTCGGTGATGGTCGAAAATATATTGTAATCATAAATTTCTATATATCAAAAACTTGGCAAGATTATGCTATCTATCAAAAATATATATATAGATGAGATGAGATTAAATCTGTATTTATGGTTATGATCTGGAATTAAAGAATTAATGCCCCAATAGAAAAATCATCATTTCTATATTCAAATAAAATAAGGTAGATCATCATAAAAGAGTAGTTTGATATTATCAAAAAGGATGCTGATTTTTTTGTTTTGTCAATGAACTGTGATGGCAAACTGTCAATTAGAGTTGTTTCATTCTTTGTGAAATTTAACTAACATTCTGAGATTTAATTTTAAAAGTAAATACTTCATTTTAATTCAAATTTTCAACAAAAGAAGCATATTAAACAAGTAATTCAGAATATTATCCCTTAGTGGCATAATTTTGATTATTAGATGTTCTAATGGCATCCTGATATTGAAGTATCTAGTAACTGAAAATGAAAATTTTTTTTATAAAAAACTGTCTAGCATTTATTTCAAAATAGTTAACCCATATATCATTCAATCAGAATAAAGCAAGCTATTCATATAATAATTGTTTTTTATTCATTTTTATTCTTTAATAATATGGTCATCTAGTTTACAGACTTTCCAACAATTTCTAAAATTATTTTTTTGTTGATTATCCTATTCTACATTAGCATTATTAATCTAAATCTAAATTAACTGACATGCATAAAATTCAATTTTTGAATTTTATAATTATCAGTTAATTTGTGAACTGAAGAAAAATAATTATAAGCCAACATTTTACACATTTGATGGTTTTTACTAAGAGAAAAAAACTATTAAATGAATAATAATTTTCATTAAAAAAAGTTTTATTTTATTTTATTCTATATTATATAAAAACATTTTTAAAAATAAAATTTAAATTTATATTCCATTATTTATACTATTTTTTTTATCAATCTCCCATAAAATTATTTCATACATTTATTATAATTAAATAACAAAATACAAGATTATTATTAAATACTGTGACTAATTTTATTTTTAAACAAAATGAAACATTTTATATGTACTGTATATTTCATTCTGTGAAACAAAGTACATATACTATGTGTACAGAGTGTAATGAAACACCATGCCAATATTTTACAGATAGATTCTGTGGTCAAAAAATAAGCTTAAAATCCTCTATAAACTTCTTCCAAAATCTGCTTTGTTTTTGAGATCTGCCAAAAAAGAAAGTTATTTTCAAATTTCTCACCAGAGTACCAACATTAGCATTATTAATTGTTTAAATTTTCTATTTTTTTAATGATTTTGTCAATTGTTTGAGGTAACTACAAGTAAATTTTGCCCAAGTAGACCTGGCTATAATAAATGTGAAAAAAAGACTTATCCACTTTACACTAAAAAAATAGTTGAAAAAGCATGTTTTTTAATGTAAATTTACTTTGAATAACATTTTGTATTTTACAAAATTAAACAGAATACTTTACAAGAACTCAAAATATTCACCAAGTCAACAGAGAAAATTCTGAGCAATTCAATTTCCATATATTCAAAACAACAACTATCATTTTGGCAGAAAGTTTAAAATTGGTTTCCAATATCATTTTTTACAGGCCAGATCTCAAAAATGAAGTAGCATTTCAAAAATATTTATACAGTATTTTAAGCTTATTTTTGATCTAGAATCTATCCCTAAAATATTGGCATGGAGTTATGTTACATCCCGTGTAAAGAGAGAGATATTTTGTATGTATTATAAAATAAAAATTTGCAATAATTTCCAAACTGAAAAATTCTATACCTAAATAAGATTAATTTTTACCAAACTCATGAATTGAATTCATATTTGACAATTAAAAACATTCAAATTTTAACATACTATTTTATTTATTTTTTTAATATGAAACTAATACAGAAACAAAGTTAGACTTTTGTTTATTCATGAGAAAGAAATAATTCATTATAATTGTAATTTATCAATTCTTTCAGACTGAAAAATTAATATCTATTTTTCATCTAATGAATGTTTAAAATATAAATATAATATTATCAAGTTATATTATTGTTCTCTATAAAATAATACATAATCAAATTTTTGTGGCAAAATAAAATTTAAATTACCTTTATTCAATTTAATAAGTTATCACTGTGTTTATTTAGCATAAATGCTAAATAATGAAATCTGAGAAGTAATTTAATCCTTCCAGATACATAGCAGAAAGAAAAAGAAGTATAAATGATGTTATTTTGCATTTCTATTACCTGATACTGATTCCAGTAAGATGTCTCATTTGGAGACCCAAAAGTACAGGAAAACTCTAATGCGTTCGCCAGAGGCTCTGTAAAAGCACCCTGAAAAATAAGTACAGGCTTTGAAATTCAAAATATTCTGGTGGAGTACAAAGACCACCATAGGGAGCCTCTGGCACCAGTCTTGATGATAAACAAAACTGGAAAACCATCAGTCTAGATTTGTCAATTTGTACATAATGTCAAAATAAAGTGAATTATGAAGTGAAAAATAATAAATTATGAAAAAATATGTATTTACCTGAATAAAAAAAATCCCACTAAATACAGCATATTTAATAGGATTTTCATTTTAGCATGCACACTATATTTCAATAAATACATTATATATACTATAGCTGCAGATCATGCATAAGTATAATATTATATATATGTTCATGACTTAATATTTTTATTTATAGATATATCAACAATAAACTCCAAAATAAATATATATAACAGTAGAATAGATTGTTCTTTACAGTTATATTAAATTGAAACAAATTGCAGCCCAATAAATTATACAAAAAGAAAAATACATAAAAATAATTTAAAGATACATCTTTCGTAATATCTTCTTAAAAAGATTATTAAATTAGGAATGTATTGATAATATTTTACAATATATTATAGCCAGATAATAATTAGCTATAATTATAGTGGCTAATATTTCACATTTTTAGTTTTAATGTCAGTAATAACCAGATCACTTCTGGTTCCAAGCTTGCCAGATATTTGATTCGTTACTGTATAGAGACAGTAACAGATCTAGACAAGATCAGAAAGTCATTGAAATCATATGCTATAGTAATTTGTTCAAATTTTAATGTCATTTATTCCCAAGAAAATTACAGATGTTAGTAAGAAAAATATCTGAATTCTTTTACAGATATGGAACTTAAAAGATTTTTTTTTTTTAACTTTTCGTTGTGTNTCAGCTTCAAAATAGTAACTTTTGAGTTTTTGACAAAAATACATGATGAAAAAGCAGCACATATGTTAGCTATCAACAGAGATCTTATAAGAGATCAAAGAGCTTCTGTATATAAAAATGCAGAACAGTTTTGGTATGTGCTTAATTTTTTAAAAAATGTATTAATAAAATTTTTGATTTGCATTCAAAAGGAAAGTTGCAAGCAAAAATACAGCCTTTACCTTGAAGGTTAGTAGCAGTCTCAAAAAGTTTGCATTTACAATCAAACCAAGTGTAGACCTTTAGAACAATGAAGGTAAAAGGTCTGGTAGGCTACTAAACCATTTAGGAAGGTTTGTAGTGATACATTTGTGTAAATGGATAACAAAGAATTGTCTAAAACTTGACACCATGTTAAAATTCAACACATACACTGCTAAGTGTAGGAAACCAACAGATTTATTTCAAAAATACTGTTTACAGACCAAATAGGTCTAGTGTACGTTGAATTTTTATCATACAGCATTTCAGAAACTTCAAACATAGACTTATCTTTAAAATAATCTTTATTTCATTATTAATGAAGTATCTTTGCTTTTAAATTGTGATATTTAATCCACAATATAAACTTGATGATTGAAGAAAGTTGCTATTTCAATAACAGACAATATTTTATTAATATTGATTTAATATAAATTTTAAACCTTATTTATAATCTACTATCAATAATATAAATATTTTTCTGAATGAAATCTTTAAGAAAATTCTAAAAATAGGTACAATTATTAATCATAAAAAATACTGTCAATTCAAACACAAAGATGATGCAAATAAACTTGAAATATATCAAGAAAAAAATGTTTATATTTATTAAACAAAATTTTCAGTTTCTAATCCTAGTTTATTTGTAACACCAGTAAACTATAGATTTCTGTATAAATTTATAAAATGAACTGATATGCTTGCATTAAATCATATTAAGATATGACAATATTATCATCTATAGTTGTTGACAAGACTATGTCTTGTTTATAAAATCGTATTGCCCGATGTTCTTACCAGCATAGAGGTATGAAGGAGTACATGTTGAGAGTTGATATTTAGCACAGAGTATTAGGTGCCCAAATCATTTGCGCATAAAAAATCCAGACTCGTAGGTAGTCAGGGGACCGAGAATCAAGTCAAAATAAAATCCAAAATGGAGACCCTCTTCTACAAACAGGCAAAACAGCCACCTCACCCCACCGAAGTCAGGTAGGGAAGAGTACCACCCACAGTCATTCTAAGAAATGAACTCTGACCTTAGGACTGAACACGTAGTTTCTTCTATGTTAAATAAAATTTGTAATCTAATTTTGTAAATTTAGAAGTGCTTCAAATATGACATTAAAACGATTTTATGTTGTTACAAGTGGGTTTTTTTAAACATTATCTAGTATAGTAAAATAGTGGGACCAATAAAAATTTGACATTATATTAGGGCTGTCGTTACATTCGATGATGTTATAATTGGGTTAAACTGTATATTGTTTGTGCAAAATAAAAAAATAATTTTGGATGATACAACAGCCACGATTATTTTTTTTTCAAAAACGGGAACTTTTTGTTATGCATCAACAAAAATTCACCCGGGTCGACATGCAACAGAGAGAAATTTTGAAATTAGATAGGTTAATTTCATCAAAGATGCATCATGGACGATCTCGTGGTTGTGGCCGGTGAAGTTTGAATGATTGCGCCCAAAAGCAGCGATATCAAAGAAGATAGGAGAATGAGAACGAGACCTGCCTTGAGCATCAAAGTGATTCCGTCTCTGAGACATAGTCGTGTCCCAAATACGGTTTTGCCATTTTACTTGTTTATTTTCAACAGAAATTTTCCATTGGGATAATCATTATTGGTTATGATTATAAAATATATGATGCTTAATTAGTTTAATAAATCTATATAATAATGCCAATCTATCTAAGATAATAAAAATGGAAACTGTCAAAACATAAATTCAAATTGTCTTTGAAAATATTTAATATTCTGACAGCTAAGTCAACCTGACCAATATTATACAATATTGGCAGGTTGACTTAACTGTGTATATTCATATATTCATCAATATATGAATATACATAGTTCCAATGTTGTCATTAATTAAATATTCCAAACTCATCAGTAACTGTTGAACCTGAGAGATGGAATATTAAGCCTGGGACAGTCACAAAAACTTTTTCATCATTTTCTTCACTTTTTATATAAAAAATTAAATTCTGAATGCTCCTGTGCCCAAGACCAAGACCAAATGATCTTGCTAGCTTTCCTCTATCTGATCCTGGTTGAATCTGTGGCTGTACACCAGGTTATATTTATTGTAATTAATAATTTAAGTTTATGTTAGTGTTCTCTTCCTTTGTTCTTCTGCATTCTAGAATTTTCTTTTATGATCCTTTTCCCTTGGGTGAGAGTGCCAGATCTTAGAACTAGAGTGAACAAAAAGGCAAACGGTGCCTTGAGGCAAGGAAGAAGAAAGGACATTCTTGGCCCAGACTTGGAAGAGGATGGTTGTGGTGGTGTGATACTCCAGACCGCATTAGCAACAGTTGGAGATTCAATGAACATTTAGTGAAGGAATCATGTTTTATCCTGATGATGATAAAACATCATTTCAAGGGTGGTGAGGTGGGTTCCAACAAGAGTTTAGACTAATTCATTATATTAGGAGGGGGGAAATGTTGAGATGGGTTCAAACAATACTTTAGACCAGATGTACTTGCTTATTACAGTTGTATGTTTCAGACCAAAAATCGATGCCAGCAGTCGCATTACACAGGTGGTCATTTAATACAGGTAACTTATACGAAGACTCTATGTATAAACTATTCCATGATGCAGGTGGTTGCCTAAGCAGTTTTCACTGTATTTGTATTTTATAAATGTAAATATAATAGTTTAAATGATAATTGCAAATATTTTCAAATTTTATAAATATTTCCCAAATAGCTAAAAATAAAAATATTTTTAAGTCTTATGAGGCGAGATTACAGAATGCAAATTCTTTTATCAAAAGTGGCATTTTAATACATAAAAGAATGTGATTAAATTGAAAAATAGTTACGTTTGGTGCCATATTTTTTTTTTTCCTGTAATTTTAATAAGTTAATTCTGAAATTATCAAATTAATGAGATTTTCTAATTTAGTCAACTTATCTATAAAGTTATATTCCATTTTATACTGAAAGAATAGCACTTACATCCTTTCCATTTTTGAATTTTTTCACCAGTTTTTTTGAGCTGTTTTTTTTTTCCATTTATCAGTTAAATTATATAATTAACATTAATTTAATATATTAAGTAAAATTATAATATTAATTTTTAATTTAGAAGATGTTAAAATAAAACAAACTGTAAGTGTTATTCTTCTTAAATGTTAACGATAATTTTATAATAATAAATATTTCATAATTATTTGAAATAATACATTTTTATAAAATAAAAAGATAAATACCATCATGTTGATGCAATAAAAAAATAAATTTTAATTAAGAAGGAAATTTTATTACAAATAACTATATATTAAATAATGTTATCATAATAAATTATATTAAAAAATATTTTTTAAATTGCATTTCTTTAGTAATTTTCATGATTTTATAAGCTATATTTGAAGAAATAAATGCAAAAATCAAAATAAACTAATCTAAAAAGCACTATTAAATTGACTTAAATAATATATACAAAGGAAAAAAAATCTGTTATATTTTTATTAAAATTTAATAAACATAATTTTGGCATACCTAAAACATTTGCAATGAAAAACAAAAAATTGAAATGTGATAATTCTAGCAAATGCGATATTAAGCTGATTAACTATTTCTAAATATATAAGAAAGTAATATGAAAAAAACCAAAGTTAAATTAAAAAAAAGGGTAGATTTCTGCATAAATCTGCTGGCTAAAAGTCACATATGCTTGTGGCACAATGAAAATGTCTTAATTAAAAAATAAATAAATAAATAGTAAACTTGCAAACTAAAAAATATAAAATTTACAAAATACAATTTCAAAATTAATATTTTTATAATTTCATTAATTCATTAATATTTGTTAAAAACAATAATTTTAAAATAATTTCTAGATTCTACAAGTTGCAACTAATAATAATAAATAAAATATTTAGCAGTGCAACTCTTAATAAAATTTTTGGAGCAAAAATTTAAAAAAAAAAGAAACGTAAGATCCATTATAATAAATTTTCAATATATTAATTATGAACAATTTTTAATATAAATCAAACCTGTTTAAAATAAATATATGTAAAAATTTAGGCCAATCATTATATTTCATACATTTACATACAGTATATAATAGATGATCAGACAAATATAAAGAAAAATGGGAGTCCTATATAACTGAACAAGCTTACAACAAATGACCTCATATTTAATATATTTATTCTATGACATTTTAATATATTATACATATTATAATTTTAATATTCTTTTCCTGTATATTTTTTTTTATAAAATATATTTATTTTAATTAAAACAATTGTTTTTAAATCTGTATAAGTGTAAATGTAGAGATTAAGAAACAAAGAGGCATTAATGCTATTAAATTTTGGTGGTTAAAAGTTGAGGGAATGGAAAGAGAGGAATATCTTGTGTCATATCTCAAGAGCAATTGAACTTAATGAAGATTTTATTTTCTATTAGCACTTAACTTTTTTTTTAAAACAAAATGCTTTAAGACTATCTTCAAAATTAAGCTTTTTGTCATTTTATAATTAAAAATATAAAAAGTTTTTAATAATAAAATCTGATAATAAAATTGTATGTGGTATAATGTGTTATGTTTAATAATATAAAATTTATTTTCTAAACAAAATCTCAGAACAGCCAAGAAAGTTATGAAACTCATTGCTGGATTTTTATAAAATGCTTTACAATTCTTTCTTCAATTATAAAATCATGGAAAATGCATTAACTGTCAAGAAAGAAAAACTTCAAAAATTTTATATGAAAATATCATATATTCTAAAAACTTCATTTAAAAATAGCAAAATGTGATTAAAACATTATCTTCGATGGATTTAAAATTAAGAATGAAGGAAGAATCAATTATTATTATTATTTAAAAAATAAAAAGGCAGTTTTATTTATAAACAGGTTTGAGTTATAAATTTAATTCTATAAACACATACCAAATTATAATAATCTTTCTTTTTTGCATAATTAAAACAATTTCAATATAGTTTTCAAGTTCCTTACATAAATTACTTTTTTTCTTTTTAGATTATTTCATAAAGAAGTTTTAATTAGGACTATTTAATATTAAAACCAATTAGAAAATTGAAATTTTTAAAAACAGAAAAAAGTAAGTGATAAAAATAAAATTTAACTTTTTTCAAAATTATTAATCTTACATTATTATTATTATCAATTATTTTATAAATTATTTAAGTCCTCATTGTATTACTTACTTTCTTAAATATTCTAAATTAAAAGTTTTACAATTTACTTCATTATGTAATTGAAGAATTACAAAATAATGTAATAAATAAGCACAAATTAAGCAACAGTTATCTTTCTAATTAAATTTTAAAAAGAAAATACTGTTTAAACTGTTTTATCTCAAAATATACGCATTTTTTTTTTTAATTTAAAAAATAACTGTAAATAATATATCTTAAATGTGTTGAAATTTACCTTCCAATAAAAAACAGCTTTATTAAATATAAATTAAAACGATTTTACTATGATTTTAACAATAATTGAATTGATAATTATAACATAATGAAATAAATCATAAAATCAACCAGTTTAATATTTCTATCTCTATTGTCAAATTGTTGAATTTAGAAAAATATAAAAGTGTCAAATTCATAAAATATTTATAAAACAAGATGAAATATCTTATAGCTGATTTATATTACCTTTTTCTCTTCTTCGTGTTTACGCATATCTTCTTCCCTCTTTTTTTTTGTGTGTTCAGGCATAACATCATCTAGAAGTTTTAGTTCTCTTTGTGTAAATACAAAGTCAAGTAATTTTCGAACTCCAATCATTACTACAAGCTTTAAAAAAATAATATTTTAAAATAGTTATGAATTATTAATTTATTTAAAAAGTCAAGTTTATTATATATTTATATTCATTAATATATTCATTAATTTACTCTTTGAAATAAAAACAAAACAAACATGTCCAAATTTAAAAATAGAATAAAACAAATCAAATATATTTAAAATTCAGATTAAAAACTACATCAGGATAAAGAATTACAATATTTTAAATCATCTTTTAAAACAACAGATTGACATGTTAAAAAATAATTATAAAAGCTCCTTTAATAAGCCTTCTTCAGGTTGTTCTTTACATCAAATTTTGTTGAAGTCTTCAAAGTTTTATAAAATTTCAAAGGCAATTCTATCTTGAAATGCTTCAAAATTTTTCTACACACCAATGTTTTCTTATGCTGGAGAATACAGCACATGCTCAGACTATCTACAAACTTTACTGGAGAAAATAATAGTGTTAGTTTTAAGATAACTAACACAGTTATTTTTTCCAATAAAGATTCTCAGGAAGAATTTTCAAAGCATTCCAAAATAGAATTGTCTTTGAAATGTTATAAAAATTCAAAGGTTTCAACAAAATTCAATCTAAAGAACAACCTAAAGACAACTTATCAAAGGAGCAAAAAAACATTTGTACATTTGTAATGCTTTCTCCATGCTACTGAGAAAAATAAGTGACTTTTCTGTAGATCACATAATTTACACTAAGAATTGCATTTTATTGTCACCTGATATAAACATAAACTTGGTTCTCCTCCAATCTGGCCAAACTTTATGTTTAACATTATATTTTTACTACAAGACAATAAATTCCCATACTATATGAACATAAAACCCATCAGAAATTTGAAATTTTTTAAAAATATATTAAATCTATTGTTTTCAAAGGTGTAATTTTAAAGTTTCAATTCTTTTTCCCCTGTATAATTTTATATTTTAATTTAAATGCATTTGATTATATTTTCAAACTTGGGTCATAAGAAGTTTTAATTAATAAAAGTGAAAGTATTCATTAATTTATTTTATCATTTCTTTCAATTATCTGGCAAAATATCATCTACAAATCTGAGTCATTATTTTTGCAACTGCTCTAAATATTGCAATATTTAACTCATATATTACATATTTATTTTATGAATTTCTTTAAAAGATAAAAAAATTAGATTTGAAATAGTAATTAATTTTAACCATTCTGTGGCATTGCAATTTACTACCAATAAATAAATTATTCTCTCTATTCAAAAATTATGATATAAAATCATCAATTAAAATTTTAATAGCTAAATAACTCAGAATTGTTTGCGTTTCAAAAATTTCATTCCCTGACAACATAAATATATAACACTTTTGCATACTAATGTAACTTATACCTATGTATGTATTATTTATGTATGTATAAGTTACATAAAATAGAAATAAAGTGAATTTTGACTCAAAATAATTTTTTGAGGATAAAATTAAAAAATTTACAAACCCAGAAATATATCAATTCCTTGTTTAAACAAATTTAATTTTAAATTTACAAAATTGAATTTGTTTAGGCAAAGAATTGACACAATACTGTTGTGATTAATACAGGATTCTCCTTTTTACTCAACTCTTAAAAATTCTCTGATTTTTCCAGATTTTCTGACTTTCCCAATATATTTTCAAGTAAACTTTTACTATTTTAGTAACAAAGTTCCAAGGATTAATTTTGTTGATTAAATCGATATTATGACCATACAAATAAATTTGGGTCTATGCAGAATTATCCTTTTTAATTGTCCAACAAGAGACAGATGGTAACAACTTAAAACCGACAAATGACATTAAAAAATACACACAATACAATTGACGCCGACCTTTTCTTAGAGGATCCGACGCCAAGAACACAGTATTAAAATTCTTCACAATATCACTTAGGTAAAAAACAGTTGTATTTATATCCATCTGCTGACCTCTGGTGGAACTCTGGAACAGCTTCATTATTTGCATATGTACATTAGTAACGAAGTTCCAAGGATTAATTTTGTTGATTAAATCAATATTATGACCATACAAATAAATTTGGGTCTATGCAGAATTATCCTTTTTAATTGTCCAACAAGAGACAGATGGTAACAACTTAAAACCGACAAATGACATTAAAAAATACACACAATACAATTGACGCCGACCTTTTCTTAGAGGATCCGACGCCAAGAACACAGTATTAAAATTCTTCACAATATCACTTAGGTAAAAAAAAGTTGTATTTATATCCATCTGCTGACCTCTGGTGGAACTCTGGAACAGCTTCATTATTTGCATATGTACATTAGTAACGAAGTTCCAAGGATTAATATCGATTTAATCAACAAAATTAATCCTTGGAACTTTGTTACTAATGTACATATGCAAATAATGAAGCTGTTCCAGAGTTCCACCAGAGGTCAGCAGATGGATATAAATACAACTTTTTTTTACCTAAGTGATAATGTGAAGAATTTTAATACTGTGTTCTTGGCGTCGGATCCTCTAAGAAAAGGTCGGCGTCAATTGTATTGTGTGTATTTTTTAATGTCATTTGTCGGTTTTAAGTTGTTACCATCTGTCTCTTGTTGGACAATTAAAAAGGATAATTCTGCAGAGACCCAAATTTATTTGTATGGTCATAATATTGATTTTACTATTTTAGTTTTTATAAACTAACAGGGCCTTATATTAGGTGGAAAACAAATTATCTTACATAAAATTTAACTCTTAAAAAGTTATCTGATATTTGAGTTGCTATTTTAAATTACAACAAAATTCTTATTCTTGGCTTTTAGATCAAATAGTAAATTTTTACAGAAAACTAGAACACATTTTTTACATATACAGTACTTACATGCATTACCAAATGCTTACCAAAATTGATATATTGGAGAATATAAAAAGTTTAAATATTGAAAATAAATTTGCACTTTAATACACAGAATAAAGTAATTAAAATATTATTATTATTTGTTTTAAACCTCTAATTTAAGATATTAAAGAATTAGAACTATTTAATAGTAATTTTCTTAGTTACTATAACAATTTTAACAATTATTTCTAAAGCTAAATTCAAATAATTATTAACTTTCTAAACTACTGAATTTTTTAAAAATATATTTACCATCAGTGGAAAGGCAATTGAAGTTGGCTTGTAGGATTTAATAACCCATAGTAAAATAAGACAAACCAGTTGTACTAAAGTAAACAGATGAACTCGAGTAGTAGGTACATGTCGCAAAAATGTAAGATCTGGTTGGTATTTTTGTGGCATAAATAAAATTAATATACGATCATATAACTGCAAATAAAGAAATGCATTCTTTCAATTTTCAAAATTACATTATAGACAGAATTAATATTTTATAATTCTAACAAAAACCAAGATTTATTTCCTAGTAGTATCAATCATTATTTTCTAATTGACTTAAATTAGAGAATGACTAATTTATTATAAATTTAATATAAATTAATTTTCTATTTTAGATTTATTATTAAAGTATAAATCATTAGTGAAATCCTAAAATATATACATATTCATTGTAAATATATGCATTATATACCTGAGATCCTTTAAGTGATGAAAAGCCCATATAAAGAAATACACCAAATAAAACTGGCATTGGTATTAACTGGTCAATAAATATAAAATATATTTAGCACAATTTTTCTTAATTTTTATTTTTAAAGATTAAAAACAAATAAGAAATAACATAGAATCAATTAGAAATTTATAACAATTTCTAAAATTTAAGAGACTATTCATTACATTTTCCCAGAATATTTTTTCCTGAATAAAAAACAAACAAACCTTTCATATTTAAGTTTAAAAAATTATTTATTTATTAAATTTAAAATTTTAATTTAATATTATATAACATTATACATTACAAATAGTTTAGAAATGAGTCTGAATTTGTATTAAGTCAAACATTTCTTATAAATACATTGATTATTATATTAAGTTTAGCTACAAATTTGATAAAAACAAAATTAGTTATTTTAATCATTTTTAAAAGTTTGTAGTAATGAATAATTTCTTTTACAAAAAACACATCAAATCATTGGTCAATTATTAAATATAAAAATGAAACTAAAATATAATATTAACAAGTTTAGATTATAAATGCTTAAATTCCTTTTCTATGACTAAAAAACAACTTCTTTAACCTTAATTTTTTTTATGTCTATATTTTGCAGTAAGCTATATCTAACAGGATAATATCATACTATTTATAACTTATGCTTTACTTTGATAGGAAATTTTGCATACAAACAAAAGAAACAGCAAAAAAGTACTGGACGAACTAGTCAAATCTGTTTTGACTTTAGTTGAAATGACAGTTTTTGATAATTATATAAAAATCAAATTTTAGTTAATTTCATTACCAGATAATTATTATTTGAAAAAAGTATTGCTAATTTAGAATAATTTGTCAACAGAATTAATTCTAAGTAGAAATTAAGAAAGTATTATAAAAAATAAGCATTTAATTTTCAAATATTTTCAAGAAGAGTGTGGCTTTCATTCAGAAAAATATGGTAATCTACCTCTTAACTAGTAATGATTATGCTATTCTTTAAGATGCATGTTTACAAATTATATTAAAATGATTAATTTTTAAAATAAAAATGATTAAAATATTATACATCAAAATATAAGAATGTATTTAATCTTCATAAATATTGCAATTAAAATTTTACCTTTAAAACTGGTGTAAAAAATACTGATAAACCTACAAGAGTAAATATGCATAGTTGAGTAACACGCTGTTCTCTGAAATGCAATACATACATTTTAATAAAATTTTAATATACATTAGAATGTAAAAAAAATTTCTTAATTATATATAACAGATTAACTAACCTAACTCCCAAAAATTGTGGTTTTTCACCAGGTGCAGAACATTCAGATTCCATTCTTAATGAATTCACATGTGTCATAGCTAAGACAGTTGCAGCAACAAACCATGGCAGACCCAAAATAGAACAGATTGCAATTAATACAGCTAAAACAAACAGATCAAGGTGATATCCACAGCCTTTCTAGAAAAGATTTTAAAAATTTTGAAGTTAAATATGTAGTTTTAAATTATATTTTCCTTTTTAAAAAAAAATACACCACAAATGTTTACCTTTAATTTGTTTTCTTTTCGATTTATTATTACAGCAGTTATTTGTTGATCCATAAATATTAAAATTGTACATAGAAGAGCAGGCAATACTGCAACTAATGCTGTCCACCAGGGATTGGTTCCAAACCATGGTATTAACCAATCTCTTTTTGGCCATGTTGGCTATTTAAGAAGATAATACAAAAGTATGTATTCAAGATTATTTTGAAAAAAGTAATAAAGAACAATAAAATTTACTTTATATAAAATATTATATTGGAAAGAAAGATATATTTAAATCCTCAAGCAAATTATTTCTCATTGAATGTTTTAATGGATATTTATAAATATTTAGATATATTTTATTTTTTTGACAAAATACACTAAGTAATATTGTAATCATGGATATTGTTACAAGTCATCTATCATCATCAGAACCAATATGTCCAAAACATATAAATTACAGTATACAAAAGTTTTGTAATGTTATTTAATCAGAAATTTACTTGTAATCATCATTGTTACTAATGATAAGTTTGAATTTACTTAGACAGTTAAGAACAACCAACTGATAAAACAGACAGTATATAAATTATAAGTCATGCCATTCCAATAAAAACATTAGAAAAATGGTCATAATTAGTTTAAAATAAATCATCCAATCATATAAATTTATTCTTAATATGTTAAACATTCACTTTAATCTTGCACTTGATACTGTATACAGTAAAACCGTTTAGATTTCAATTTTTGGCACATTTTACTTGATCATTTATAGACTAGTTAGTCTATAAATGATTAAGTAAAATCTGTTGTTGTTTCTGTTGTTAAAGACTGATCTTCATTATTGTTTAATTACAGTATAGTACTGTAATAAACTTCTCATAATAATGGAAGAAGCAAATAAGAAATCTAAACTTTAAAAATAACTTTAGTTAAATTTCAATGGAAACAATTTGTTTTAATTTTTAAAATTAAGAACTAATTACAGTAATTAACATTCTAATTCAGTTGTTTCGTTATTTCCATTATTAAAGCATTTAAAAATAAAAACTATTTTGTAAAACTAGATTTTTCATCAAAAATTGCCCAATTGTATTAATTTCCAGTTAACAGTGCTAAGGAAAGGCATTTACTTTGTTATTAAATTATTATTAATCTCAATAAGAGATTGTGCCTAACATCTACTCCAAATTATTTAAAATGTAATTATTAATTGTAGCAAAAAATAGCAAGATACATTATGACAATCATTTGGCTTTTATTAATATCATCAGGTTTTGAGATGTTTATACCATTTGATATTTGTTTTTATTCAGATCTGAATATTTTTAAAATTATATTTTTAGAATATTTCAGGTATATTTTTTAATATAGTAAATTTGTTATTTTGTAAAAATTTTATAAACATACAAATTAAAAATATATTTTATTATATATATTTATATATCACTTTTTACCTTAAACTCTTGTGGAACTTCTAATTTTGGTGTATTGATTCCAACACACAAATCTATTACTGTCATCAATAAAATTGCTATCACTACTGAAAAGTCACTGATGACAAGACGAATCTTAAGAAAAAAATTTAATAATTTATGATGATAAAAATTCTTCTATCATGTTAAATATAAAACATATAAATTTACCTTAGATGGAAAAAAGGGAGTAAACCTGAAATCTTTCAAACATATAGAAACTACAAATGTGGAAGCAAATAAAATAATTGAGAAAAGGAAGACATTAGGAACTGATTCAGGTACTTTACATGCATCACCCACTAATGTCCCATTTAAATTAATACATTCTTTTTTGAATGCAGATACCAGATTATAATTTCCAATTGATAATGTTGTTGTATTATTTGACAATTCACAAAAACAGTTAGTATTATTATTTAGTATTAAGGGAAGTGAGCTCTCCATAGGATATTTATCACCTATATGAAGTACCTGAAAAATAAAATTATGGTTTTTATATAATTTTACTTTTGAAAATTTTATTTAATTTAAACATTAACAACATAAAATTAATGTAAATATAAACAAAATAAAAATTATTTATAATGTTTTTATAATGCAGCTGACCACAGATTTTCCAACACACTTGGTTCCAAAGTCTTGCCAAATTAACAAGTTTTCCAAACTAACCAAGATCATATAACTCATAACAGTATGTCCTGGACCACTAATTATAAACCTCCCAAACTGTAATCATTTACATACCTATCTGAGGCATAGCTATATGCTGAGTTTTACAGTAGTCAGCCAATTATATTTTGATGTGTAACATTTTTTTTTTTGGTCAATGAGTTATTTCAATAAATTTACATTACAGTAAATTATGTAAATTTAGTATTTTTTAAAATTTATACAGTAACTTTATAATTATTATTAAATTAATCAAGTTTAAAATATGATAATATAAATACATTAAACACATAAAAATTAATATTATATTCATTCAATTTCCAATAAAAATTTTTTATCAAATTTTAAAATAAAAATTTGGCTAAGAAATTTCAGACATTTCACCATTGGCAACTCACACTTTTAAACATATTTTGATATTCCTAAATTGCTTTTCTTATACCAAATTCTATTATTGTACATTTTCAGCTGATAAATAAACAGTTTTAAACTACTGTATGATGGCACTATCTTCCAATTTTAGTTTCAATAGCTTCAAAATCATTCCTGAAATTTTTATTGTCTTTTCGATCTATGGTTTAATGATATTTTATGTATCGTTACGTATTCACAGTAAAAAAGTAAAGCATTTATTAAGAAGAGATTTTATAAACTTTCTTTTATCTCTCTGCAACAGATGTCTTTATAACATGCAACTGCTCCTTTGAAATGTTTGACTTGCAAACACAATTTTAAGGGTCATTATATCTAAAAGTCAAAGACTGCTTGTATATTTAATTTTGATTTCAATTCAAATGAATTTTATAAATAGAACTTTTATTTATAAGCATATTTAATTATATCAGATAATTATATTAGTTATATAATATATACATTCATTTTAAAAATTGCTAAGCCATTTTTTCAGCTTAAAAAAATATACAAAAATTTTAAAAATGCAAACTGTATCACATAAATTTTGACTACATTCAACTCAAAATTAATAATATATCAACCAGTTTATATAAATCATTAAATTAAAATGAACATTTGTAAATAAGAAAAAATATATATAATTAAATCTGAAAATTAATCAAGCAGCATTAAAATTTTTTTTAAATTTAATAGTTTAAAACTAGAGAGATTTTTATAATATATGCAATAAAAAAGGATGGTATGTGTTGTAAAATATTAATAACATAAAAATGAATTAATTTTAAACGAAAGATGCTATCAAACTGCAAGAACTTCATTACAAAAATATACTAATAAATAAATTATAATTTAAATTATAAATATAAATTCATATCAATACCTTTTCGATAGCTTTGTAAATAAAAATCAGAGATATAAGAGTAGCAAAATTTTCTTCTGTAAATCGAGTAATATAACATACAAGAGCACTTGCATCAAATGCCACCAATAAAAACAAAATAATAGAAGTCCATATTCCAATCCATAAACGAAGTGATAAATATTGTAAATTATATTCTCTGTTTAAAAATAAATTAGAATTTTAAATAATTTTTTAGTAATTATTAAAAATTAATGAAATTTATAACTTTAATATCTATTTTAAATTAATATAGTAAATACAAAAGATAAATATTTATTAGCAGATTGAATTTAAAACTTACTTGCAGATATCAAATAAAATTGTTTCAAACACTAAAACTGGTCCCGTACTTCCAAGAATAGTTAAGGGCTGTCCACTAAAAAGACCATAAATAATACCACATATTGCACCTGATAGTAAACTTTCCATTGCTGCCTAAAATAGAATTTTAAGACTTTAAATATAATGATAATTTTTTTTTAAATATTTCTAATATAAATATATATATAACAGCTTTATTTTAACTAATATATTATTAAGCATTCCAACTTGCACTTGTATCTTAAAAGTGATAAATTTCCAATAATTCTCCCCTCTCTATATACTGATTATCAGAAAACTATTTAGAAACTGTTTTCAATTTTATAACATATTAATTCTTTATAGCAAGTAAGAGCTATGCAATTGAGTATGATTCTCAAACCTGTCGTTGGATGTTGTATAGCCTGTATGAAACTTTATTAGTGTGAAACCACCGGAAGGGGGTAGGTCTCCCAATCCGGCAACAGGTTGTTAAACCCTTTCACTGTCAGGATGGGTGGTTGAAGGGTTCTTTTTCCCGTTGTAACGGGTCGAGTGGTGGAGGGAGGAGCGCGTCGGTGAGACGACAGGCGATATACGAGAAAACGAGGAGGCCAGATATAACATAAGAAAAAGTAACAATTTATTAAACCAAGTAATACAACGTATAGTTCGCGTCCCTAAAACGCGGGGAGACCGAGAGAGAGCTTACAATAATTGGTTCCATACCTCTTGATCTGTTATCCAAGCTACTCGTTGAATTAGGAAAATTTCTCTTCTAGGAAAGTTCACTGATGTAGGAAAGGTCACTGTTTAACTATTTGAATCCTGGATTTAGGGAAGTTCACTAGACAAAAAGGACACTATTTGAAATTGGTCTTCTTCCGGCACCTGCTCCGGTACGACTCCCCCGAGAAGGGGAAGGAAGGGGTTTTTATAAGTTCGGCGTGGGAGAATGGTCACGTGATTGATTGTTGTGAGGTAAAAGGTATGTAGATGGGTCAGAGTTGTTCCCGGGACCATGCTAACTATCAACTTTGGCGTTGGAATGTGGGATTAGTTTCGAATTGAACGGATGTTTATGTCGAATGTAAACGAAAAGTTTTTTTTCCCCGTTAGGTTTCACTTTAGGGTAATGGGAAAATTTAATTAGATTTTAAGCAAATACGGCAAAATAATCGGTAGAAATTCCGAATCTCACATTAGTAAATCAACAACACCAATGGAAATTAATTTACTTTATATCTGGTAGAATGATCATTTCAATCAGGGCAACATTGCATAGCAACTTGTCTCAACATGGGATAATTCTTCAAACATCAAGTATAGTATGGGTTTTATCAACATTAAAATCTTTTTCTCATTTTCTTTGGGTCATAATTATTTTAGAATTTATTATTATTATTAACATTATTTGATAAGACAGAAATAAAGTAAAATGATAATGAGCAATTATTTATTGTGACATCATCACAATAATGGGCTGCAATTTTTAATCATGTTTTAAATTTAATTTAAAATATATGCTCTCCACCTCAAATTAGTAGTGGCTTGCCCCTGTACATCATACTTTTCCTTTAACAATAGAGTCATGATGGTCATCTATCTAACACTCTTCAGGAAAATATTCTTCAATTGAAATAACATAACTTCTGGTTTGAATTGAAAGTTCTTATATACAGTGGAACCCCGGTTAACGAACGTAATCCGTTCCACGAGTCCATTCGTTAACCGAAGAAATTTTTCCCATAGAAATTAATGCAAATACAATTAATCCATTCTAGATGTCAGTATTTTTGTAATTTTATTTGTAAAATGGGTTTTTTTTAAGTGAAAATATAGGAAAACATGCTCATATAACAGTCGATCTAGGTTAAATTTTCGGAAAAGGGGAAAGATTTGACGGGTATAAAAACATCACATACAATCATTAAAGTTCTAAAATGATAGATAGCAGAAACAATAGGCTAAATTATGAGCGAAAGGCTTATAGGTTTATCAACAATCTCTGATCAGAGTCGATGAACAGGTGTCAAATAAACGCCTCTGAACAAACCTTTCTCGTGACCTGATCTGGTTTTAGTTTTCACCTGGAGACAAAGAAGAAAACAATCGGGAAGCGAGGAATGGGACACAGGACCAATCAAAAGATAAGATTCAAGGAAGAAATACTATAAAAACCTCAAATTTCAAGGTTAAAATGCAGTTTTCCTAAAAATTCTACGATGATTAATCTGTGTCATCTTCATCTGGATTAAGCCTGAAGTTTTGGCCACTAAAATTTGTGTTGTGTCTCGCAGACCGCTCCAGTTGTTGCAGCTCTGTCACCTACCATCGCTTCTGTGACCAAGCGAACCAATCTCGTTCGCTCTGGGGCTATGACTGATCAGCTTGCACTATCGTAGGACCAGCGATATGTCACTCCTCAGTGCCGAGAGAAAATACTGTAGATAAGCCATTTGCAACTACCTCAAATATGTAAGCATCTTCCCGTTCTAATAAACGATTTTCACTGTAAAATATTTGTCATCTTTGTCTCCTCTGCCACCACCAACGTACGAATGGACCCAGACCATCACCGACACACGATTAACTGATTTTCCCTAAAAGTCGGCAAGCTTACAAATTTGACACAAAAAGCCGTTAAGTTTGTTATCCGAATTTTGTTCGTTATCTGAGACAAAATTTATCCAAAATAAAAGTTCGTTAACCGATTTGGTTGTTAACCAGGACGTTCATTAACCGGGGTTCCACTGTATTGTCTTTGAAACCGTGTTTGATAAATTTGTTGGACTTCGAACTAAAAGTCAACTAAAAGGAGATGGAAATAAAACCAAGTGTTTATTTAAAACTCAATTTTGAGTTCAAAGTCCAACAAAGTTCTTATATAGTTAATCAGGGCCTCCTGCCCCTAAGGTTTCTGTACCTGATTTCATCTTTCATCTATCTAACTCCATTCTTGAGATCAAGGAAAGACAGATGGACAATAGTGGGAATTTTTTAAGCAAAGATCAGAACTTTTATGAATGTGGAATCCTGCTACTACCAGAAAGATGGCAACAGGTATTAGACCAAAATGGTCAATATATAATTAAATATAGTATTTATGTATCATAAAAAAAGTTTTTTTCATGGAAAAAAAATGAAATTACTTTCCGAACAACTCAATATAAAGATTATCTTACGTAAGGATTTATCACTGAGTGACCAATCTAACACATTTTAAAAAATTTTCTTCTTCTAAATTACAAAGGCTGGTTTTTTTCAACCTCTGATGATCCATAAAAAAAAACTCCAAGTGTAAATAACAAAATGAATTTATTACCAAAAGTTAGGTACAAATGTGGTTACTTTTCGACATAATCACCATGAAGATTGAAGCATTTGTCATATCTGTGGACGAGATTTTCCATCCCCTCTTCATAGAATGTTGCTGCCAATGACTTGAGAATGTTTTGAAGAACATCATTAGTCACAAACCTCTGCCCTCCTAGCCATGTTTTCAGTTCAGGAAAGAGGTGGAAGTCTTCACACATTAAAAAGTTCCAAGCTGGGTGGAAGTCTTCACCACTTTTAAACACTCAGCGTCCCAATATAGCACCGAGCAACTTCCACCTCTTTCCTGAACAAAAAACGTGTTTAGAATAGCAGAGGTTTGAGACTAATGACGACCTTCAAAACAACGTTAGGTTCCATCATTGGTGGCAACATTCTAAGAAGAGGGGATGGAAAAGCTCTTCTACAGATATGACAAATGCTTCAATATTCATGGTGATTATGTCAAAAAGTTTGTACCTAACTTTTGATAATAAATTCATTTTGTTATTTACACTTGGATTTTTTTTATGGACCATTGGAGGTTGGAAAAAAAAAAACAGCTTACATACAACACACTCTACTGGGAAATACATAACAAAAAACACAGAACCAGTAACCAGTGGAAATAAAACAAAAAACTATTTCTGGACAAACATTTTCTAACTCCTCCTGAGTCCTTCTTCAGGTGCTACAATGGTTACCTGGTGGAACATCATTCAGAACATAAAAGCTTCTTTTAAAAAAGCTTTTATGTTCTGAATGATGTTCCACCAGGTAACCATTGGACAATATGCCACAGGATATATATAGATCATCATTTGAAATTTTATAGCTGACATTTTTACCTTAAAAGATTAAAGGTTAAATTATCAATTTAGCATGCAAAAATGTAGTTTTTAGATCTATTAACATAACTATTTTCAAATTTCTCTACCTATTAGGACCACAGATATAAACCAAGCATGACTTTTCTATGAACATTATACATACAATTCAGAACTTCTATATTTCTTAACGTATAAAAGAAGATACTTGCCATTAACAATCAAATAATTATAAAACTAATAAATGAATTTTAAAATGAGAAACTAAACATTCGATAATTTGACAAAATCATGACTGTTTATACACGCACAGAATTTCTCAATATAGTGTAAAATTTTAACATAATTGTAATAAATCATAATGAAATATAAGCATATAAAATAATTATATTAATTAATTTATAGAGATCTTTTTATAATACATAGTTTTAAAAATTTGATATTTTATATTATTAATACTTACTATCCGTTTCTTAGTTGCTTCACCTAATAATCCACCAAAAGTAATGATTGGAGTAAGACAAGCAAAATATAGAAAAAATACTGATGCTACTGATTGAAGAGCCAAGGCATCTTTAAAATCACTCAAATACCATGGTAATTTACGTTTCACATCATTAATAAGACCTCCAAACAATCTGAAAAGTTTATAATTAATATTGTTATTATAATAATAATAAACATTTAAAAATAAAATATTTTCTTTGAATAATATAGACCTTCCAGTTCTCTTTAATCCACTTTCTTCTCTTTCTTTTTCTTCTTCTTCTTCTGTATCTATTTTATGTTCAGGTTCATTCTTTTTCCTTCCATCCTTAATTTAAAAATAATATAACCATTAACAATAAATAAGAGACAAGAGTTGAATATAATAATCATCATATATATTTACATGCATGCTTATAAACAACGTACAATACATAACAGTAAAACCTCACTGAAGTGGCCACTTTTGGGGTGTACAATTTCTGGTCACATAAGTGAGGTAATCAATCACCTGTAAACAATATTAGGATGATACATGAACATCAACTCAAAAACCCAAATTTATAGTTAAAGCCAAACAAACTGTCAAATTGTTAAGCTATATAATTTATTATGTAAATGGACATATGTTAAGTTCTGCTACTTGGACCTCTGAGTGATCTTTGCTTTCAGAACTTAATGTTTAGATATTACCATACTGGTCACTCACAGTGCTGACTGGAAATGATTTAAGTGCACATGGCTTTCCTCCTCAGTGCTCAGTCAGTTATCACTTTCACTTGGCATAGTCTATAAATATTTATATTTATTATAATTATTAAATCTAGCACAAGATGACAGCATAACTAACTACTCTAGACAAATTATTTAGTGTTTAATTACATAGCATTATTATTAACAAAGTTTTGTATATTGCAATTTGTTTGGCTTTTCTACATTATTTCTATTCTTCTGAGTAGTGTAAGCCATATACTATCAGTATATTGATAGTTACCTAAGTGGGATTATATACAAAACTGTAGTTAGGAGTACTGTACTGAATCCCGCTAATTTTATTTTTAATTTCGATTTTTATTTTGATATAAATGCCAGAGTTTTAAATTTTTAATTTTAATTTTATTTTAAATTTATATTAAATAGTTTTAAGTTTAATTATTACTTTTGGTTTTAATTAATTGGCTACCTAGTTACATATAAATCAGGGCTGTGGAGTCGCGTAAAAATCTACCGACTCCAACTCCGACATTTCCTTATCATCCAACTCCGACTCCGACTAAAACACCAAAACTCCACGACTCCAACTCAACAGCCCTGCTAGGGCTGTGGAAGTCATGTAAAAATCTACCGACTTCAACTGCGACTCCGACTTTTCCTTACCATCCGACTCCGGCTAAAACATCAAAACTCCACGACTCCGACTCCACAGCCCTGATATAAATAAAACGAATACCCAGTGCACTAATACTCCTCCAAAGATGAGCTAATGGAATTTCATTGTATTAATATTGGATAACAGAATATTGAAATAAAGTATATGTACAGTGAATGTACAGCAGTTTGCACTAGAATTCATTCAAACATATGTTTGCAGTCTACTAAACTGAATTGTTTAGTACCCATAGACAGAATCAATATGTTTATGAAATAATAGTAAAGATTTTATATAAATACTGTACGTTAACAGGAAAATTCAGAAAAAATTATTAAACAGATGTCACTAGATATGCATAATTATTCTCTGAATATCAGAAAAAACATTAATAATTAAACTGGCTTTTACATCAG